CGTGACAGAGAAACCCCAATACCCATCACAGATCGTGACAGAGAAACCCCAATACCCATCACAGACCGTGACAGAGAAACCCTAACACCCATTACAGACCGTGACAGATAAACGCCAATATCCATCACAGCCCGTGACAGAGAACCTCCTGACGCATCACAGACCGTGACAGAGAAACTCCAGTACCCATCACAGACCGTGACAGAGAACCTCCGGACCCATCACAGACCGTGACAGAGAAACGCCAATATCCATCACAGACCGTGACAGAGAACCTCCTGACGCATCACAGACCGTGACAGAGAAACTCCAGTACCCATCACAGACTGTGACAGAGAAACCCCAGTACCCATCACAGACCGTGACAGAGAACCTCTGGACCCATCACAGACCGTGACAGAGAAACCCTAGCACCCATCACAGACCGCGGCAGAGAAACCCTAACACCCATCACAGACCGTGACAGAGAACGCCAGAGATCATCACAGATCGTAACAGAGAACCTTCGGACCCATCACAGACCGTGACAGAGAAACTGTAGATTTGAAGCATCAAATAAACGGTCAGCTACAAATCTATCGTAAAGAAATGGAAGAAAACGTTGTCCATTTAATTCGTAACAATAGGTCCATCGTGTTTCACACTTTTAATCCCGCAAGGGATTGCGCTAACAGCTTTTTTTAAATGAATGCCATAGTTCAGAAAAACTGATATTTGAGTTTTCTCAAAGTCTTATGAATTTCAAGAAATTTTATGAGACCTTCACGTATGAAGCATTGAAGCAGGTTGTTTTTTTTTACGTGTGAAATGAAAAATTCATCACGATTAAAGCTATGTTTAGACATATTGTCAAGTTAAATGCTGCACATTTTCATATAATATCTCTCTTTTTTTGTCTTATATGAAGTAGAATAACGTTTCTTCTTTTTAAAATGAATAGTCACATGGGTCATTCAAATTTTCTCTCCAATTCGTTTTAAAACAAATGACAATAAGAATAAAATGAGGAAAAATTTAACAATATGTGTTGAAAAAAGGAAAATATTATTTCAACACTAAAGAAACAGAGTTTCTCTCCTATATAATTCTATTTAATTTTTAAATAAATTACCGAACTCGATGTTTAGCAAAAGTCTGAGATGTCGATGTGTACTAAATAAAACACTCAAATTTAAGAAGTTCATTTCATCTCGACAATAAAAAATATTGTAGATATATTGCTGTATTGATAAAATTTGTACAAATCAGGTTGATCAATAAACTGAAATTCTGTATTAGTCTAGATTAATTTATATCGGCAGTTTAGACAACAACGCTTGTTCGAGGTTTTCCAAAAAGACAACATTTTAATTTCGATTTCTTCAGAAATTCTTTGGAAAAATAATTAGGTTTTCTCATTAACTAAATCTTGAAAAACTATGAGTTTCTTTAATTGTTTTTTTTCTATCTGATAAAGGCAATCGTGAGTTATTTATGTAAACTGAAACGAATTCAGATAATAATAATTTTAAATAATCAATAAACATAAAGAAATCGTTTTTGTATATTGAACTGATTTAAATTGCGGATTTTAAACAGGATAATCATACTGAATTCTTAATAAGTTTTTATTTGATTATTAGTTTTCGTGAGAACTATCAAATGATATTACTTATTCATATACACAAACAAAACTCTAATATTATTTAGTTCATGACGTTTTAATAAAATGTTATGTTTTTGTACAAAAGACTGCACTTCATTTTATTATTAGCATTTTTTCAACTGTGACAAGAGTTGAATCATATCACATTGAAAACAAAACTATAAAAGAAAACAATTTTTATTTTTTTTCTTTCGGTTCTTGTTTAGTTTAAGCACCGCTCACGCTGATTGGTGTAGTTTACACATGCACAGAGCACTGTGTGTGGGTGAGGACGCTATGATTGCGGTGCTTAAACTAAACATGTACCTGGATGGTCCATATTTTACTAAAACTGAAGCTCATTGGTCGGCCATTACAACTCCAGTGTGACCTCTATTCATTTCATCGTATTTCCCTTAACCCATTGGATTCTCTTAAACGGTTACCACACTTATCTCAACCTAAAATTAAAAGTGAATTAAAAAATGTGTTTAATGTTTCAACATAGGAACACCAATCATATATTTTCTTAATTCAATTCATTTTTCTTTCGACTAGTCTAGTTTGTTTGACTCCGAACACAAATGTATTATGTCGAACAAACGAATAACAAAGAGCATTACTGAAAGCATAATATTCTTTCATTGATATTTAAAAATTTTATTTGAATTTTTCTTTTAACTGTGATCACTTATCTTTTTAACAATAAAAAAGTGCAAATATATATATATATAGGGATGTGCAGTTTCGGTGAAAACAGTGAATTACTGACAGTGTGCCACTGACACTGGTGTTCACTGAATCAGTGCATACACCGACATGGTGTTCACTGAACCAGTGTATACATCGACATGGTGTTCACTGAATCAGTGCATACACTGACACTGATTGCACTGGTTCCACTGTCTACACCGACATTGGTGTTCACTGAGCCAGTGCATACACTGACACTGACACTGACTGCACCGATGTTAGGGTTTACTGGAACAGTGATGCTCACTGAAGTATCAAGTCACCGACTCAATCAAAGTATGCACTGCTCGTGACTTTATTTATAATTATCAACGAAATTAGCGAAATGACCATACCTATTCCTCCAAAAAAGAGGATTCATTTAAGTAATCTATAATTTTGAGTAATAAAGTCGATTTCAACGAAATACGCCACTTATAATCCTAATATTGACACATAACTGCGGTATTTTATGACTCGACCAAATTCATTTAAAGAAGATGAGAGTTTCCTAAAATTTATGTGGATTTTGTAAAACTATTTGTATCGTTTCAATTACATAAATTTTTCGCTTTATTTAATCTTTCTTATGCAATGGTGAAAAAAGTATATGTACGTAAAAGTGTATGTAGCTTATCTCAACCAAGAAACCAAACTATTGAGCGGATATGCTTCCATTCAATGAAAATATTTTGTTCATCCGCATATTACAGGCGGAAGATGTCGTCGTCTTCTGTGTATAAATTCTAGTCAATGTAAATCAGTATCAGTACGTCAGTGTTCCAGTGTGCGTCAGTGTATGCACTGGTTCAGTGAACACCATGTCGATGTATGCACTGATTCAGTGAACACCATGTCGGTGCAGACACTGCAACGGAAGCAGGCAGTGTCAGTGTCATCAGTGTACCGGTGAACGCCAGTGTGACTTTATCGGTGATCAGTATACTGAAACTGCACATCCCTATATATATATTTTTAAAATTTTTTTTTGTTTATTTTAGATCTTCGAAGTTCATCAATATCAACTTGTAAGTTAATAAATTTTTTTAACAATAAAAAGATGCGAAAATTTTTTATTTTAGATTTTCTAAGTGCATTAATATCAAGCTGTAAGTTAATAATTTTTATTTTTTTGTATGTTATCAAAGACAAATTCGACGAATTTTTTTCCATACTTAAGTTATTCCAGTTTTAATCTTAGATATATAAGTGAAGTTTTTTTTCCTTATGAGCCATTCTTTACAAGCAACGACCGATATCCGGAGCAGTTTCTCAATCAAATAATTGTCGATTTGACTTTTTTATTAGTTATAGTTAGAAGTGTTTCATGAATTTCTACGCAAGTCGTTTGTAAAAGGATTACTTCATTCTTCAGATATTTAGATTTCTTTGAGAACATTTTCGTCAAAAAAATGACAGTACAACCTTTTTGTGACATCTATATGTCTTCAATGATAAATCTTTTTTTGCTTCAAATTTTTAGTGTATGTCTATCGTAAGTGAAATCATAGCTCATCAAATATAGAACTTAAATGTATGAACCATTTATGAGTTCATTCGTAGTACCAAGTGCATGAGAAAATCGTAATTTTTCGGTATTATGTGCATGTGCATTTCTTATGAACAGATCATGTTCGATACCTGAAATTCTAATTAGAGAAAGATCTTATGCAAAACTCCTTCTAATGAAATTTTCAGCTGACTGACTAGTTCCTATTGCTTAAAAGACTCCTACCAATAATACGATTTTGACTAAAATAACGATTTTGGGAGAGGCTAATCTAGAACAAAGCCAGTTCTATAGCAGTCCGATTTGTATGGTTTTAAAATTACACATAGTGCTAAGAAGTCATATAAGATATGGTTAGAAATGTAGTGAATCTTATGAGAAGTTGAGCTCGAAAATAGCATTATCTACACTTAAATTATCAAGATTTGATTTGAAATTAAGACAAACGTTACATAAAATGAAGCTAATTTATATCCAGTGTCTGTAAATACACAATTCGCTATCGGCTGACAAATATAGCTTCCTTGAAAAATACAAAAATGTTTTCCATGCAAAACTCTGGAGGAGATATGGCCAAGTTTTTTTTTCCGAAATCCTCATATCTCACTCCAGAGTTTTGCGTTGATAAACTTTTTTTTGATTCATTGATTAAGATACTGCCCCGAATACAGATCGTTGCTTATGAGAAATGGCTTGTATCTTGATCGATAGAGCGTTGCCTTATCAGTGACGTGCCCAGAGGGGGGATCGATCCCCCCCTGGAGAAATACGAACATCTGGAGGGGAGTACGGGCCGAATTATTTTTGTGTGTCTAAAACCAGTTTCTCTCCACAGTGGTCCCCCCCTGGGAACGATCAATCCCCCCCCCCCCCCCCCTCCCCCCGGAAAAAATTCCTGGGCACGCCACTGTGCATTATCCTAAGTTGCATTTGATTATTGACGATTTGCATTTGAAATAAGTCTTTTTTATTCTCATTCATTGTAATATTTTTAATGTAATTTTTCAGCAATAAACAAATGTGTAAAAAAAAGCCTTGCATGTCTACCGTAAGTTTCAATGTAGTGAAATTTCTGTGCACTTGAGAATTTTTAGTGCTTTACTAGTGCTTTCTTGAACCTTTGTTTGTATCTATACCTTATTAATATTTACATATATAGCTATGGTTTGATTGTCCTAATAGGTGTAATTAATTCTTTATTAGTTAGAGTTTCTTTGATTAAAGCATTTGTTGTCAATGAGAGACTGCAATAATATCTATTTTATTATTTTAGATGTCACGAGAAGTTCCAAATCAGCTATCTGTAAGTGTTGATGAAAATTATTAGTTCAAATGTTTTCTGTTATACTGCATGTTTTAGTTTTGCATGTTTTAATATTTAGCTTTGCATGATATCATTCACATCTAGGTGTTAAATCTTTATCATAGATTAGACATTTGTGTCTTAATTAAATTTATTTTGTATTTAGCCCACCGAAGCTGCTCAATTGTTGAAAGAGGCTGAAGTACAAATACAACAAAAAGATGAAAAAATAAAAGAACAAGATGAAAAAATAAAAGAACGAGATCAAAAAATAAAAGAACAAGATTAGGGGTGTCAACTTTGCGTTCCGTTCCTAGGAACGGGGAACGCTACCCCGTTCCTCAGCGTTCCGTTCCTAGAAACTGGAACGCAACATACATTTCTTTCACTTTTAGCAGAAATTTTACTAATTCACCGAAGGAAAGCCAATTTCATAAAAATTAGGGATGTCAACGTGCCTCGTTCCTCAGCATTCCGTTCCTAGGAACGGGGAACGCTACTCCGTTCCCGTTCCTGAGAACGGGGAACGCTACTCCGTTCCCGTTCCTGAGAACGGGGAACGCTACTCCGTTCCCGTTCCTGAGAACGGGGAACGCTGAACACTCAAACATAAAAAGAAAAGTGAATATGTCTAGAGACCTCGCCATGTTGAAATATAGCGTGGAAATGCGATTTTGACAAGCGTTCCCGTTCCTAGGAACGGAATGCTGAGGAACGGGGAACGCTGACACCCCTATTCTTCATATTCATTTTTTGTCTTGTTGTTGTATGAAGGTCTTTAATATTCTCTTTGTTTTATTGTGGTTGTATGAATGTCTTCATACTATTTTCTTGTTGTTGTATGAAGATCTCAATATTCTCTTTGCTTTATTATGGCTGTATAAATTTCTTAATATTCTCTTTTTTCTTATCGTTGTTGTTGTATGAAGGTCTTAATGTTCTCATTTTCTTTTTGTTGTAGGAAAGCCTTTATATTCTCTTTGTTTTTGGTCGTATGAATGTTTTCCTATTCTCTTTTCTTGCTGTTTTTCTTATCTCGTAATCTTACATATACAATATAGATAATCAAGAAGATTAGATGACAAAAATATCTTTTAACTCTCAAACTTTTCTTTAGAATTCATCGAGGGTATAGTTATTTTAATTTAAATACAATATATATATATATATATAATATGAGATCGAACATTGGCTCTCTAGATATACTTTCATAAGGATTAGAACAGTCTTTTTAAGATATTTGTCAGTCATTTTCATTGGAGTTTTGACTGAGATAGTGACTCAAAGTACACATTACACGCTTATTGTACACCTTGGATCTGTAAGGATCGCGGTTGAAATTCATT